GATCAACAAAAAAAGAGAAAAAACACGAAAACTGAAAAACACCCTTCTTAAAAACGACTGAGTAATGGAAGCCATCCTGGGAGTCGCAGCAGTGTGGGTGTTTGTTTGCGTGCATGGACCAGCCCCAGGGCGGTCCGCAGTAAGGGGGCCCTGGAGTCGTGAGAAGGTGGGTGATTGTGTGAGTGGAGTACCTGGATAGTAGATCACACGGTTGTCTGATTCAAAATGGCCAAAAACAGTCCCTTTCAGCTCACTGATGCCTGGGATATTGATCTTTATGTGTTCCATCTCATTTTTGACAACTTCCAATATTCCTAGATTCATACTTCATATATTCCATGTTCCAATTATTAATGGATGTTTGCAGCTGTTTTTTCTCATTTGAATCGTGCCACAACAGCAAATGGAGGTCCCAAAAGCTTTACTCCATCCACATCGTTAAGGTCAGCTCTACTCTGAGGAGGCAGCTCTTCTCCAGTCAACCTGAGGGGCTCATATTCTGGCACTATATTGGTCAGTGTTTTAGGGTTATTCATAAAGTTTTCCAGTAATATGTCAGACAGTGTTTCACTGCTATTTATAAGGTTTTCACTGGCCAATTCTTTGAGAAGTGGGTGACCCCATCTTTCTTCCAAGTCTATTTTAGTCTGGAAGCTCCACTGAAATCTGTCCACCATGGGTGTCTCTGCTGGTATTTGAAATATTGATGTCTGTGTCTATGCTATGAGTTGGGAGCTCTGGTAGCATAGTGGCTAAAGCACTTGACTGCTAACCAGAAGGCTGGCAGTTCAAACCCACCAGCCACTCCTCGGAAGGAAGGTTGGGCAATCCTACTTCCGTAGTGATACTGCCTCGGAAACCCAAGGAGGGGTCGCTATGAGTCGGGGGCGACTCGACGGCAAATAACAACAACAACAACATGCTATGAGTTGGGGCCAACTCAACGGCACACAACAACAACAACAACAATAGTGGTATAGACTCCAGCCTCCGAGCAACACCCAGGCCACCACAATATGACAAACTTATACATATAGATAGATAGATAGATAGATAGATAGATAGATATAAATATAGATGTAGATATATCTTATCTTAATTAGTAAAGTATATCTGCTTTGAGCATTGTTCTCTTTTAGAGAATTATTTATTTGACAGCCAATTGACAATGACAACTCAAAAGATTGGATGGTTGGTTAATTTAAGACAATGGTAGTGGAATAATTTGGAAAATGATAGCAAGAGTGGTAGTTGAATTTGCAGAATACAATCAAGTCACTTAGTTGTAAATGTAACAATTGTTAGAATGATGTATGTTTGGATATGTATAGTTTAGTTTCACAGAGATAATTTTTTTTTTAAGATGAAGGGTGTTTAAGTTAGTATTCACATGGACACCATCTTCACCATCTACTAAATCCACTGAGAGCACGGATAAGCCTGCATACTAGTGCCTAGCCAGGTCATAGTGATTTCTTACAACTCTATTAAAAATCAAGAGGAAAGAACTTTCAGACAAACAAGAGACAGGTCTAGGAGATGACCAATAACACTAGGAAGGTACACATCCTTAGAACAACCAGCCATTTGAGATCAAAAGGGCAGCATTTGCCTGAGGACAAAGTTCAGAAGGCAGGAGAAAAGGCAGAACGGAAATGGAAAACAGAGAGGAAGTGGGATGAGTGATTTTACATTGTCGGGATTGCATTCAATGTCATGAAACAAAATGCGTATGAGTTGTTGAATTGAAAATTACTTGTTCTGTACATATTCATCCAAATCACTATACAAAGTTAAATAAATA